TCCATCAAACAATTCTCCCCTTTTTTTCTGTTCTTCCATTCCACCACCTGTTTTTTCTTGGGTGGTACTTAACATTTCTCTAACTATTCTGCATACTTCTAGCTTCAGGTCATTGATAACTTCATTCCTGAATTGGTCTATGAGGCTCTCTATATGGTGCCTTATGTGTATTGGTGTGGTGTCTGCTATTGCCTGTTTCTCAGAATTGGGGGCCAAGGAGCCTTTCTTGTTGCTGCCTCTTCCCATGCTGCCTCTTCTTCTCTGTTCCTTATATATGCAAGCTTATATAAGAGGCCCAGCTTCTCTCCCAGTCAGCCACAGCCTGATCGAATTGCGCCAGTTAGTTTTTCCCGCTCACCGCTGCGCACCAGGGAGTTACGGACCAGGCAGCCTACGCGTCTCCCCTCCCGGCCACCGTCAGGCTCTGGGATCTGGGTTGGGACAGTCTACCAGGTCCGCCGGCAGCGTCACGCAGGCCAGGCACTTTTCACCAATCCCGCCCGAGAGGGGGATGTGTGACTGGAGTCGCCACCGCGCCCTGCTCCTGCAGGACTGCTCGGGCCCAGAAAGTCCTCTGCTGGAGTCAAACTGTGGTAGAGTGTCAGTTTCTCTCACTCACCTCACCACAAGTCAGTGCACACCTCCCTGCCGTTCGCAGATTGCCATTCTCAGAGCTTCCGTGCGTCTCTCTCCTTGCCGAGCCGCTGTAGAGGCAGCCAGCCGCCGCGCGGCCGGAAGCCCAAATCGCGGCTTACAATGGCGCGGTTCCAGCCTCCACACCGAGTCTTTTCTGTTCCTGTTTTAGCACCAGGACTGCATTCCAAGTTGGCTTCTCTCAGCCCAGTTCGTTCCTGAGTCAGCAGAGCATATCTCCACCGACTTATGTCTCCTTAGTCCCCACCATTCCTGGCTTCTGAGCCGAGTCTTTCAGAGAGCCTCCGGTAGTTGCTGTTATCTGTCCGCCATGTTCTCCCGGAAGTCCCCTCATTAACATGCTTTCAAAAGACTTAGGAAATATTCCCAGCATTTTGGAGCCTGAGCCAGGGGGATAGCTACAAGTTTGAGGTCAGCCTGAACTATGTGCTGACACCCTGTCTCAAAAAAAACCAAAAAATAAATAAAGTAGTTATCATAATAATAACAACAGTAACAATAATAATAATAATAATAATAATAATAAAAAACCCTTAGGAAATGTTAGTTAGCCATAAGTTCAGTATAACATAGTAAGATCCAGAAAATAAATTAATAATAGCTAACATTTATTAATCCTCATTATAAAGACTTTTCTGTCAGGCATGGTAGTGCATGACTATAATTCTAGCACTCAGGAGGCTGAGGTGTGAGGATCACCATAAATTTGAAGCCAGCCTAGGATATATAGACAGATCTTGTATTTAAAAAAAAAAAAGAAAAGAAAAGGAAAAAAGCAAAAAAAAAAGACTTGTCTAATAGTAAACTGGTTAAGACATATGACCTCACGCTAGGGATGAAAAAATTCATGGTACTGGCAGGTATGCAGGGCACAGATTGGAATCATGGGAGCCAGATGAGAAAAGATGCTGAATAACATTTGTTGTGGCAGTTAGTACTCCCTTCCTTGTTCCATGTTTGACCTACCACCCCAATGTCCAATACAGTCAGAAATAAAAAGTCAGTAGTTGCACACATCTTTTTTTCCTTTCTTCATTTTTCTAATTGCTGCTGGGAAAGTGAACAGGTAGGAATTTTCAGCTTAGATTATCTAAAGAAAGATATCAGTACTTCACTATACCACATCCTTTTGCTTTTTCAGTTTATTGTAGCTCCATTAAATGGCAGATATACCATTTTCAATATTCCTTTTACCAGAGGCATTTGCATGGAAATAAGGTAAGACAAGCAGACAAAACTAGGCAGGATGTAACCCTCAGCAGATGAGTTATGCAGTGTACCAAGAAGCTGATTGGAAGTTGTACTTCTAGGGTTAGGTGTGTTATCACATGTTATGTCTCTACTACAGAGATGTTTCATTTGTAATATTATTTATAACACTTACGGTCAATCAATAGCAAAACAATTTCCATAAATTATTATATTCAATTTAGTAAACTCCTTAATAACGACTACCATAATTCTCCCTACTTGACAAATGAGAAAATTTAAAGTTGTACTTTTGTTTTTCACAGTACATAATAATTATGTTCATTGAGGGAGTTGATACATGTACATAATACATCACAATTCTTTTTTCATCTCGTTCCTCTCCCCTCCACCCTTCCTCCATGTCTTGGTCCCCTTCCATTTTGCAGAAAAATAAATCCATCTCCCTATTTCCAATTATCTAGCCTGTATTTTGCTTTTTATTTTATTTGTATTTTGGGCTTCTCATATAAGAGAAACAATGTGATAATTAAACATACATGTCTTATTTCACTTGACATTATGATCTTTTTAAAAAAAACTTTTATTTAAAGAAAAAAAACAGTATAAGGGTACAAGCAATACAGAATTACAAAAAAAGCAGTAAGAAATCACTAGTTAATAGATTACATACTGTCATCTTAGAAATAGTTGTTTAAGTTACAGGATTAAAGCATACAAAGTGGATATTCAAACAGTGAGACTGCAAACAGTTGTATTCAATGATCCAATGAAAACTCAGTAATATGGTCATCTATCTTAACACACCTAAATGCATTTGCAATTGTAACCTTTAGAGCACTTTTTTCCCTCTCTTTATTACAACAAAATTTACACATTTTGGGTTTTATTACTTCCATAGTTCTTATTACTTTTTTTGGAAGAGAATAAAACCAAATATGGGAAAACAAAGCAGTCAGTCAAAACAAAGGATAGACATAGCACGTGATGTAAAAACAGAGTACAAGGTTATCAACAATGGTTACCATAATGCCTCTTGCTTCCTTAAAAAGAATTGCATATATCATTAGGTATAATAAAATTGAACAAAGCAGTACAGAACAAGACCAATAAAACCTAAACATTGGAGACATTACAGGACATCAAAAGAAGATAATAGTCAGACCAGAATGGGCATCATAGTGAATCTTATTGCCTTCAATGTGGTTGCCTATACCCTCAAACTCGATACTATCAAACAAAATGGAACAGAATCTAATCAGTCAAAACAAGATAGTGGGAGCAATACAGGGCTTCAAATCAAGTTAACAGGAAATCAAAAAAGTTACTATAATATATCCTGCTAATTTTTTTGATTTTTTTCCCTTAATTAAAAAAATAATAAAATAAAAAATAAATATTTTTTTAATGAATAAGGGAGAGATTGAGATAAAAGAGGACATAACAACATAACAATACAGGTCAAAGCATGACAATTTCAGCAACCTAGTGCTTCACCACCAAAAACCCGACTTAATAGTAGTTACCATAGTGGCTCTTTCCTTGAAATATTTGAATATAACTTTGTATACTATAGCACCAGACATATCAAGACAGTGTGAAACCATTCAAGTGGATGAAAGTATTACAGGGTATTTAGAACCAGCTAATGGAAAACGAACAATGGTTTCTATATCAACTCTTTGCCTATAAAAATTTTTGTTTATACTATCACATGTAATAAAATCCAGTAAGATACAACATGATAAAACCAATGGAGACAGAAGAGCAACAGTTTGGTGGGACTTCAAAACAAGATGATATTAAATCAGTAGTAGCTATTATGATGTTTTGTTTTCTTCAAAATAGCTGCTCATTTCATCACAGGCAATAATATCAAACAGCCCAGAATAAAGCCATTTAAATTAATGAGTGAAAACTTTATAAGACTTCAAAGCCACATAATGGGGAATCACGATTACAACATATTTTATATATTTGAATCATTTCTTACACTAGGGAAACTATTTGGTATTTATACATGTGGGTTTGATTTATTTCACTTGTGAGTATGGTCTCAAGCTCCTCCCATTTATTTATAAATATCTCAATGTGATCCTTCTTTATAGCTGAGTAGTACTCCATTGTATAAAAATACCACAACATTTTTATCCATTCCTCAGTTGGTGGATACTTGGGTTGTTTCCAATATCTGGTGATTACACATTGTGCTGCTATAAACATAGGTGCACATATATCACTGTGGTATGATGCTTTCAGTTCTTCTGGGAAGATGCCTAGAAGTGGAATAGCTAGAACAAATGGGACTTCCAATCCCAGCTTTTTGAGAAATCTCCAGACTGACCTCCACAAAGGTTGTACCAGTCTACACTCCCACCAACAGTGCAGGAGAGTTCCTTTTTCCCCACAGCCTCTCCAGCATTTGTTGTTGCTGGTTTTCTTGATCATGGCCATTCTTTCAGGACTGAGATGGAATCTCAGTGTGATTTTAATTTGCATTTCTCTAATGACTAATGGTGATGAACATTTTTTCATGTATTTATTTGCCATTTGTATTTCTTCCTCTGAGAAGTGTGTATTCATCTCAGATGCCCATTTTTGGATTGGATCTTTGAATTTTGGGGGTTTGTTTTGTTTAATTCTTTATATGTTTCAGACAGAAGTCCCTTGTCTGAGGGAGAGTTCACTAAGATTTTTTTCCAAGTTCGTGAGTTTCCTTTTCATTGTGCTGGATATTTCTTTTGACATGCAGAAACTTTTTAATAAGAGGTGGTCCCAGTTATTGATTCTGGGAAGCATTTCCTATGCGGTTTGAGTCCTGTTCATAAATTCTCTACCTACCCCTATGTCTCTAAGGTTTCTACCCAATTTGACTTCCAATAGATTTAGTGTTTCTGTTTTAATATTCAGATCATTCTTCCAGTGAACCTGTTTGGCTCCTTTATCAAAGATAAGGTGGTTTAGTGTGTTTGTAGTTGTGGTTGTATCTTCTATTCTATTCCATTGATCTTTGGCTCTGTTTTGATTCCAGTACCATGTTGATTTTACTATGGTTGCTTTGTAGTATAACTTCAAGTCAGGGATTTGGATGCCTCCTGCCTTGCCTTTGTTGCTTAGAACTGTCTTTGCTATTCTAGGTCTCTTTCACACCAGATGAATTTTAGGAGTGATTTCTCTAGATCTATGAGGTATGTTGATGGTATTTTTATTGGGATTGCATTCAATCTGTATAAGAGTTTTGGGAAAATGGCCATTTTCACAATATTTATTCTTCCTATCCATGAGCAAGAGATGTCTTTCCATTTTCTGAGATCATCTTCAATTTCGTTTTTCATTGTATTATAATTTTGCCTATATAGGTCTTTCACTTCTTTCGTAAGAGTAATTCCTAAATATTTCATTTTTTTGGTTGTTAGTGTGAAGAGTGTGACTTCTCTTATTTCTCTCTCTGTGATTTTGTTGTTAGTGTATAGGAATGCTATTGATTTCTGAGTATTGATTTTGTATCCAGCTACATTACTGAATTTATTTATTATATCTAAGAGTCTTTCAATGGAGTTTAGGGAGTCTTCTATGTAGAGTATCATGTAATCTGCAAACAATGATAATTTAACTTCTTCTTTTCCTATCTTTACCCCTTTTATTTTTCTCTCTGGTCTAATTGCTCTGGCTAGTATTTTCAGTACTATATTACATAGGTGTGGTGATAAAGGACATCCTTGTCTTGTGCTTGATTTTAAGGCCTTCAATTTTTGGCCATTTAGTATGATACTGGCTGTTGGTTTGTCATAGGTGGCCTTTATTATATTGAGGTAAAGACAATCTATTTCAATTTTCTGTAAAGTTTCTATCATGATTGAATGTTGGACCTTATCAAAAGCTTTTTATGCACCTATAGAAATGATCATGTGATTTTTACTTTTGGCTTTATTGATATGGTGGATTACATTTATTGATGTACATATCTTGAACCATCCCTGCATGCCTGGGAGGAATCCCACTTGGTCATGGTGTATAATCTTCTTGATTTGCTGCATCCTATTTGCCAATATTTTGTTGAGTATTTTTTCATCTGTGTTCATTAGGGAGATTGGTCTATAGTTCTCTTTTTCAGTTAGGTCTTTCTCAGGTTTTGGTACTAGAGTAATATTTGCTTCCAGGAATGACTCAGGAAGGATTGCTTCCCTTTCAATTTTACTGAAGAGTTTGAGGAGTATCGGCATTGTATTTCTTGTAGAATTCTGCAGTGAATCCTTCTGGGCCTGGGCTCTTCTTTCTAGGTAAGGACTTAACTACATTTTAAATTTCATTAATAGAAATCGGGTTATTCAGCATTTTACATTCTCTTGACCTAGCTTGGGTACTTCATATGTTTCTAGGAATCTGTCTATTTCTTCTGTGTTATCAAACCTTTGAGAGTAGAGGTTTTCAAAATAGGTGTTGATGATCTTCTGTATTTCTATAGCGTCTGTAGTGATTTCACCTTTTTCATTTCTTATTGCATGAATTTGAGCTTTTTCTTCCTTTTTTAAAATAAGGTTGGCTAGAGCTTTGTCAATTTTATTTATTCTTTCAAAGAACCAACTCTTTGATTCATTGATTCTTTGGAGTGTTTTCTTAGTCTCTATTGCATTGATTTCTGCTCTGATTTTTATAATTTCCTTTCTTCTTTTGGCTTTGGGCTTGACTTACTCGTCTTTTTCTAGCTGTTTGAGGTGTAGTGTCAGGTTATTTATTTGTATTCATTCTGTTTTCCTGATGTGGGAACTCAGTGCAATAAATTTTCCTCTGAGGATGGCTTTCATTGCATCCCAGAGATTCCGGTAAGTTGCATCTGTATTTTCATTTTTTTGTAGGTATTGTTTAATTTCTTTAATCTCCCCCTGTGACCCACTGATTACTCAAGAGTGTGTCATTCAGTTTCCATGTGTTTGTGGAGATTTTGCAGTATCTTTTATATTAATTTCTAATTTCAAAGCGCTATGATCCGATAACATGCAAGGGATAATTTCAACTCTTTTGCTTTTATTTGAATATGTTCTGTGAGCTAATATATGGTCTATTTTAGAGAATGACCTATGTCCTGTTGAGAAGAATGTTTATTCTGATATTGTTGGATGGAACACTCTGTATATGTCTATCAAGTCAATTTGTTTACAGGTGTGATTCAGTTCCGTTATTTCTTTGCTGATTTTCTGTCTGGTTGATCTGTGCCTTGGTGTCAATGATGTGTTAAGGTCTCCTGCTACCATTGTGTTACTGATAACTTGATTTTCCATTTCTGTTAATACTTGTTTTATATAACTGGGTGCTCTGGAATTTGGTGCATGTATATTTAAGTTAGTTATCTGTTCCTCTTGGAGTTTTCCTCCAGCGAGTATGTAGTGACCTTCTTTGTCTCTTCTGATCATTATTGCTTTAAAGTTTACATTGTGTGCAAACAAAATGGCTACTCCTGCTTTTTTTATTTTTTTTTTTTTTTGGATTTCTGTTGCGTCAAGTATTGTTTTCCACCCTTTGTTTCAATCTGTGAGTATCCTTCTGGTTTAGATGGGTTTTCTGTAAACAGCATATGGTTGAATTTTGTTTCTTGATCCATTCTGTCAGTCTGTTTCTTTTAATTGGTGCATTGAGGCCATTTACATTAATGGGTATAACTGTTATATGTTGGTTTATTGTTGACATGTTATCTTTCTGTTATTGTTGCATCTTTATCTTTCTGCTCTGTTTAATTATCTGCTTTGCTTAGTGGTTTTTTTCCTTTGTGTATGTAAACTGTTTTTCAATACTTTTGCAAGGTTGGCTTGGTGATCATGATGTTCTTCAGCTGTTCCTTGTCAAGGAAGTATCTCATTTCACCATTGATTTTGAATGATAGTTTTTCAGGGTACATGAGTCTAGGTTGGGAATCATTTTCCTTTAGGATCTGGAATACTTCACTCCATGCTCTTCTTGACTTTATTGTTTGTGCTGAGAAGTCTGCTGTTATTCTGATAGGTTTTCCTTTGTAAGTAATTTGTCTTTTCTCTCTGACAGGGTTTAGTAATCTATTCTTGTGTTGAATTTCTAGGATGGTGATTATTATATGTCTGGGTGTGATTTTATTTTCGTTATGACTATTTGGAGTTCTATGCTTCACTGAACCTAATGTCGGTTTCTGATCTCATGCTTGGGAAATTTTCAGCTATTACTTCTCTAAATATCCCCTTGATGTCCTTTATGTCATCCCCTACTTTTTCATTAATCCCTATCAATCTTATGTTGTTTTTCTTTGCATCTTCTTGCAGTTGTTGAATTGTTATTTCCTGATTCTTTGTTATTTTTAAAAGATCTTTCTTTTCCTGTACACTAGCTGCAATCCTGTCTTCAAGGTCTGAAATTTTTTCCTCACTTTCACTGAGGTGGTTTTTATAGCTTTCAGAGGAATTTTTGATTTCCTGTATATCTCTGTGTATGTGCTTTATGTATTCTGTTTGTTTCTTATATTGATCATCTAGGGATTCTATCTTTTTGTTTAGTTCCTCCAATTTTTTAACTGTGTTTTCTTTAGATATGTTCAGCATCTCTTTCATTTCTTTTATCATTTAGTCTTTTACCTGGGAGATTATTTCTAATTTGAATTCCTTTAAAGCTTCCCACAGTTGCTTGTTTATTTTGGTAGCTATTATGTCTGATATTTGAGGTTTATGACATATATTTTCTTCTGTATAAATCGCTCCTATGTTTTCTTGGGATGGGCTGGAGTTTTGAGATTGTAATTTGGTCTTTTGTTTTGTCATTTTCCTATATTTCTGTGTTTTAAGTGTTATTCAAAAGCTTCCTCACGGTCTGTTGGAAATGAACTTCTATGCCCGCAGCCCAGTTCCCCCAGTCCGCCGGGCCTCTGGAACCGGTGGTGCTCGCCTGCTTGCTTATAACTCCACAGTCCCAAACAAGCTGGGCTCTGGGGAAAGTGGGCACCGGCCTGCTTGCTCAGAACTCCACAGTTCTCCAAGCACAGCCAGAATGGGGAGGTGGGTGCAGGCGCCTCAGACTGGCCTAGCTGTTCCACTGCATCCAGAAGGTTCAAGGGTCCTGAACAAGCTGGGCTTGGGGGAAAGTGTGCAGGGCACTTACTCCAGGATGCCGGGCCTCTGGGATCGGTGGTGCTCGCCTGCTTGCTTACAACTCCACAGTCCTCCAAACACACGGGGAAGCGGATGCAAGTGCCCCAGACCCACGTAGCTGTTCCACTGCACCCAGACGGTGCGAGGGTCCCCAACAGGCTGGGCTCTGGGGAAAGTGGGCGCCCACCTGCTTGCTTAGAACTCCACAGTTCTCCGACATTATGACCTTAAGTTGCATCTTTTTTCCTAAAAATGACTCAAATGTACCCTTCTTTATGGCAGACTAGTACTTCATTGTATATGAAGAAAATGAATCAAGTCAGGGGATGAGTAAAACTTGCCAAAGGCCAAACCACACTAATCAGTACCACACTAATTAGTGACAAATCTGGATTTGATATCATGGATTCTGGCTTCAGATTCTGCATTCATAACCACTATGCTGCATCCCACCTTGATACTGTTCAGGAGAAAAATGGTGTTCTTATTCCACAATGACTTTGAGAATGCTCTCCCTAAAAATAGATTGGAAAAAAGATGGTCAAATTGCCTGGCTGTTTCATTCATGATGCTCTCTTCTTGGTTCTAGGTCAGTTTTATCAAACAGATCACAAAATATAATGTTGTGTAAAAGAAAAGAATGTATTTCCCATGGGAAAGAGTCTGCACATAGAAGGTCTATGTTTGGTATGATGACTCCAGGACAGAATTTAGTCAGGCACTCATTCCCTGCTGAAATAAAAGACAGGAAATAGTCTTCTATTTTAGGTAGTTTTTTCCTGTCTGAAATAAGTAGGAGGAGGAGAGTAGATGTTGTGATTAGAACCTAGCATAGTAGTTCCTTAGTGCATTGGTTCATCCACTTTCTACTCTTATGTCTTTACAGTGACTACAGATATGTGGCAGCCGCTTTGGCTGTCATGAGAAATGTTACTCAACAGATCAACGAACGCAAGCGTCGTTTGGAAAATATTGACAAGATTGCCCAGTGGCAGGCTTCTGTTCTAGACTGGGAGGTAGGACACTTATTGACAATGGTGTTGGGATGTCAAAGTGACTTGGTAAAAGCTTTTTTATGTTAGCCAAGCATGATCTAAGAGGAATTAGATTTGAAGAATTTAGATTAGACTCAAGACAAAGCTTCCTGCTAATGATGTTGGGTACTTAATAGCTTCCAAGGAATATTAGAGAAACTTTTGTGACAATAACTCATTAAAAAAGGAAAGGTTTATCTCTTTTGGTGTTGTTAGGAAGCAATTTGGTTGAATCGGTGACCTTTCAAAGCTCTCAGGAGTACTAAAGTAATATATGTTAATATACTTTGAAACATACTCTGGGACTGGTTCTCTTTTATTAACTGTGCAGGCTAGCTAATATGCTTTTTCCATTGTTGAAATCACCTCATTCTCACACATCTACTTAATCTATAGAAGCTTGAATGCTATAGGTCATGACCATCATCCCAGCCAAATCCATAGGCAATGTTTTGTTTTTAGTATAATCTTATAAAAATACAGTGTACCTCAGTTCATGAATTTAATTTTTTCCATAATTTGGGTCACAAACTGTATTGAATGAGAACAGAAGCAAACTCAATGGTTAGGTTCAATGCTGATCTTATGGGGAAATTTGATTTGGTTCCTGTCCAATTCAATTTGTGATCAGAATTATTGGAACAATAAAATTCATGAACCAAGGTGCCACTGTAATCCCTGACAGCTTCTATTTCATTGCAGGCAGTCATGACTTCTTTGAATTTAAAAAGTGGCTGAAGTCACTCAAATCTCCTTTCTTATATTCCTATCAAGTGAACCTATAGTAATAGAATTTTGTATTTATCTCACAGGCTCAATTTATGTAAATCCTATAGACCACAGGTAATATAACCAAGATAATTCAACATGTAAATTGTTAAGGGACACAAACATTAAGTCTATAACAAATAAGTAACAAAAATTTCCAAGTGATGGAAATTGAGACTCCATCTTTGAGAATGCTCTCCCTAAAAATAGATGGGAAAAAAGATGGCCAAATTGCACCTTCTATGTGCAGACTCTTTCCCATGGGAAATACATTCTTTTCTTTTACACAACATTATATTTTGTGATCTGTTTGATAAAACTGACCTAGAACCAAGAAGAGAGCATCATGAATGAAACAGCCAGGCAATTTGACCATCTTTTTTCCCATCTATTTTTAGGGAGAGCATTCTCAAAGATTTTCAGACTCCTAAAGTCATTATGGGCCAAGATGACTCCAGATGGGTTGCCATCTAGGAAGATTTTTCTCTTATAAGAACTTATAGGTGCATTTCAGAAATCAGGGTTTTTAAAGTATCTGTCATGTTTGTCATATCTGCTCTTAAAGACTTCTACAACGTCCAGATAGCTATCACTCTTAGAAGAAACACTCTGTAACCCTGACCACTGTTGTATACACACACACACACACACACACACACACACACACACACACACACAGAGTCATGAATACATTCTCAATCACCATCATATAGCTTGTATATTAGTCAGCTTTTCCATTGCTGAAACATAATACCCAACACCAAAAACTTAAAGGAGAAGTTTAATGGCTTGAGATTTCAGGGGATTCCATCTATAATCTACTAACCCAAAGTCAGAAACATCATGGAGGAATGGCATGGCAGGGCAAAGATCATTAGTTTATGGTGGCTGGGAACCAGAGCAGGGGAATGGTGCAAGAGAGGAAGAGATGAGGGATCATATATAGTATTCAAGATCATGCCTCTGTAACACATCCAGACACACCCGAAAGTGTGGTATACTAGTTCTCTAGGCAGCTCCAAAGCCAGTCAAGTGGACAGTTGGTCTTAATCCTAATGCGTTGTAATGATGATAGAAAACTAGAAGCAGATAGAGGCCTATCCCTGACCAAAGACATAGTGAATAAGCTGGAACTTGAATCTAGTCCTGTGATTCCATTCCTTTCACTGCTGTACCAGTCCTTCAATCTTCTGCTTCTTGTAGCACAGTTGATGTTTTTTGTGATATTTTAGTGACTTTTTTGCAGTAAAATTTATATTTAATTGAAACAGTAAGAATATATTTGTTAGAAGGATCCAATGCTGGAAATGAATGCTGGATGAATGCCAGAGAGTCTCTACCAAAAATCCATAGGTCATAGATACGCTATGGCTTTTGGCCTCATGGAATATGTAAAACAGCCTCACTGGTTTCTTGGGATGGATTTTATGTGCATTCCACTTGTCTAAGAAATTAAACAGAGAAGTAAAAATGTGGAAAAAGGGGAGGAAAGAAACAGAGAGGCAAGGAATTGAGGAAGGGAGGGAGGGAAGAAGACAAGGAAGAAAGGAGAGAGGAAGAGAGACAGAAAGAAATGCTATGAGCAAGATTTAAAAATCAAATAGAGCAACATTTTACTGTCTCTCTCCCCTCCTTACCTCTTATATGTTTGAACAGAAGAGATGGCTGTCAAAAGCATCTACATAGTAATTTTGGTTTCATTTGTCAAATGAAAAACTAGGATCATAGGAAGAACCATTAGATCTTAATCTCCCTTGAAGCAGAAGTTGGATGAATGGTAACAATTGGGCAATTGTTGTCTACTCAATAAATCAGAGCATTTGGCTAGAGAGCAGGAAACCTTGTGTTATATCAAGGCCCGTCTCTTTTCCTTCATCTTTCTTCATGAGCTTTCTGATTTTCTTTGCTGAGTTTCAGTTACCCTCCCTACCTTCTTGCCATCCTATGGGGACTAGAATTCTTGAAATAGTCCTCCCTTTGCCCCACACTCCAAGATTCCTAAAAATGAACAGATGAATTAGAGAATCACCCATTGCACTAATAAAATGTTGCAGGAGATTAATGAAGGGCCATGGAGAAGAATTATTCCCAAAGACTGCAGTTTATGAAAATTTTCCATTTCTAATTTCTCTCATGCTGAGATTTGTTGAGCTATCACCTTGCCCTCTTTTGTGCTCATCAAATTAACTTGAAAGGAAAGGAAAGGAAAGGAAAGGAAAGGAAAGGAAAGGAAAGGAAAGGAAAGGAAAGGAAAGGGACAGCTTCTTTTTAACCTTTTTCCCTGCAAACTTTTAACAGGAGCCCAAGTTTATAGCTCACATTGAAGTTCTTCATTGTGTATGGTTATAATGTCCTCCTTCCTAGTCTGATTATGTAAGACTCAAGAGCCTTTCCCAGTTTTTCATTGGATGATTTAGTCAAAAGAGCTTGGAGTAAACATAAAAAGCCCACATGATTGAGGCAGGAAAACATCTATTTTAAAGCTAAAGTGACTTAATAAAGCATAATCCTGAGACCAGGAGATCAAGTGTGAGGCTGGATGGATTTGTTATTTTTCTGCAGCATGGGAGATAAATTGGGTGAAAAATATGACATTTTGCTAGTTATTTTTTCTCTGGATCTGTCTGAGCTGCAGCTCCATATCAATCAGTCCATAACTACAATGGAGTAAAGTAGGGCAGAATGTGGTGAATTAGAATTAATCAGAAAGCGATAAAGCCTCTTTTCTGAGACTGTGGCCTCAGAAGACAATTGAGCTGGCAAGAAAGTGCTGGGAAGTAGTTTCAAAATAAAAATTAAAGCTCTATGTAGTTTAATGTGGCCACTGTCCATTCAATATCCATTGATTCATATATTAATTAAACATTTGTTGAGCATCGTCTTAGTCACTTTCTCATCTTTGGGACATAATACTCAACATTAACAACTTCTGGCTCTGAGACAGGGACATTATAGCAGAGGGGAATGGTACAGGAAAAGGGATTCAACCCATGACATCCAGGCAGCAGAGAGAGACAAGAGAATCTGGGAACAAGAATGCTGTACAGGCTTCTAAATGGTACTCTCAGTGACACATCTCCTAACATCACATTTAGCTAATGCATTCATCAGTTGATAAATCTGATAACTATAGCATGCCCATTGCCCAATCACCTTCCACACGCATGGGAGTTTTGTAGGACATTTTAGATTTAAACTACTATAGCCACCTACTGTGTTGGGCCTCATTGTGGATTCTGAAATTATGTCAGTGAACATAAAAAAGCTCCTACCATTATTGAATTTGCATTCCTGTAAGGAACATAGAGAAAAATGACTAAAAATGTTTCTATGGGATATAAAGAAAAATAAAGTAACAAGACTATGCTGATATACCTCCTGAGGAGGTGACTTTTGAGAAGACCCAATAGAAATGAAAGAATAAATCATGTGACACTAGTGGGGCAGAACATTTCAGTCAGGCAGAAGAAAAAACACAAAAGCCCTGAAGTATGAGCATGTGTGCTCAAGGAGACTGGCATGGCCAGGGAGACAGAGTCAGGGCAGATGAGGATTAGTGAAGTAAAGCAAGGTCAAATTATGTCCATATTTCATTAGTTTTCAGTGTGAATCGGAGCAATTATGTGTAGTTCTGAGCAAATATGTGACACCAGGAGACTTATGTTTTAAGTGTCTCATTTTTACCAGGCCCTATGCTAGACATTGGGGATATGAGATTGAGATATCGTCTTGGTTAACTACTGGGGGCAGAGTCATTCCTAGCAAAGGGAACAATGTGAGCAGAATCCTGGAAGAATGGAAAAGAAGGCCCATGATGGGCAGTAGAAAGGGATTTCACTCTGAGCGCAAGAAAAAGAGATGTGTAGTACAAGTAAGCCAGAACCAGCAAGAGTGAGAGCTCTGTAAAAATGTGTCCTTTCCCATGCACGATCTACTTTGGTGCTCTCTGATGGCCATGGATACAAACCAGAGCTTCGCTCTAAATAAGGAAACAGGTTAAGAAAGTTTTAGCTACTTTCTAAGGGTGCAAAGTGAGTTGGTAGTAGCACTGAACCAAGAACTCAGCTCATATTATCACCTCAGAAGCATTTCTTCATCATTCTAAATATGGGGGGAGATGTCATCATGCTAATGGAGTTTGGCGATTAAGAACATGGACTTTGGAGGGAATTTGACTTAGGTTGTGCCCCTTTAGACAAATTAGTTCTAATTTCTCTGTTATATATTTTGAGATAATAACAGTATGGCTCTTACTAGTTTGTTTAGTAGGAAACAGGGTGTGTATAGTACTTGGGACACACTGTAATAATCAAGATAATAAATATCACTTATGTAGAGCTTATAGTGTGATGTGTATTTTTCTAGGCATTTTATTTGTGCTAATTTAAATACTTTTTCATCACACCCAAATAAAGTTGGTAATGTTATTATCTCTACTAAGTACAAGGAAACAGATACACTAAGGATAATTAAGTTGCTCAAAGTCAGTCAGCTTTGTGAGCATACTGGTGTATTTTTTTAAAAGACATTTCTGTTTGGAATTACATATGGCAGGTACTCACTAGTGTGGTAGAGTGGGTCCAGGTAATACCCAGTAATCCTCCTCAGTTTAACAAGTGGTGCTTTTGAAAGTCATCCTTGCCATCTTTTTATAGCACTGGCCTTCTTTTATCAGTTTCTTTTAATTCATATATATTAAAAATGGTACATCTTCCTGACCTGCATCAGGGTGGGATATGGTGGACTGGTAACACTCTTAGCTTTCCATCCCTCTAGTAATGAGGCCCTGCACAACTCTCTGACCCTAAGGGCCATTCTATACTACCCTCAGGCCTCCAAGGGTTTTGTGCTAGGTTTTCCATACCTCCAAATGAATGTTTTATCTAGATTTTGTATAATTTTGAGAATAAACCTGGAGCCTGGATTTGAAACATTACTTCTGAGCTTCTTTCAAGTTCTGTTATAGGAATATAATTCTACTGAGCTCCCCCTTTCGCTCCCAACCTTTAGACAAGAACAATGGTATATACAAGAACACTATTTCCAGATGCCCTCTTATTTGGCATGCTACCCTGCCTGGGCTGTTTGCCTCTGATTATTTCTGGGGAGATACAGGACCCTCTATTTGTAACTTTGCATTGACTCTTTTGTCTGTAAGGCTGATATTAGTGTCAGAATATCAGAGCTGAAACTTGAAAAGATCATTTTTATATACCTTATTTAACAATAGGAAGAACTGAGACCCAGAAAACAGAAGTGATTAGCCTTACAATGACTTTTTGGACTACAGATGACGTAATACAAATAAAGAGATGAGTGTACTCTTTGGAGCTACAGAGCTTAGAGTTGGATTGTAGCTCTATAGCTAACTTGATGAGTGATCCCGCCTTATCATTTGACCTCTGTGTGCTTGGAACTATAAAATTGTAGCAAGAATGTCTACCTCCCAAGGCTATTGTGAAGACCAGATGAGGTAGAGTAGAAGTATCTAGCACAATGTCTGACCCGTATAGGTGCTAAAGTAAGATTAATTCAGTATCCTGGACCACTGTCCTTTCCCTCTTCACAAGGCCACTTCTGTGTCCTTGGCTTAATGTGGTTTGCCTTGGATTCCACTGTTTCCATTATATCCATGTTCATCTTTTCCACTTAGATGTACTCTCTTTTAAGACAAAGATGAAGCCTGAATTGGTATCTGGCAAATACTCCTAGCATACCTATGACCTCACAGAGTTTACATAGACAAAGAGGAAGGGCTTGGAAACAATGAATAATTTAATTATCTGGGAGTCAAGTATTTTAAAGATTTATTTTTAAAATGTTATTCTGCATAGCAAAGAAGAGAAGTGATTAAAGGCTCTCTGGATAAAAGCCAAGGAAGCATGTTATAAGGAAGTATCTTTCTTAATCAATAAATTTTAATGAACTATGGGGAGAAAGAAAAAAGAATTACAAGAAGATGCTTGGATCCTCTTTCACTCTTTTTCATCTGTTTTCTTGCCCTCCCCTGTTCACTTCTACTCATCTGTGAAGCAAACAGACTTACTACTTGAAGTTATAACAGTTCAGAGTCTTAAGTAGTCCTAGGCAGTGGGCTTATTTGGCTTCAAAATGAATAGATTTTCCCAATTCATGGAGTTATGAAGCCTTTAAAGATTCCTGGGAGTTACTGCCTCCTTCTTTCTCCACTAGGGTGGGAAGAGGCCTTTTCTGACCTCCTCCCATCCTAGTGTATGCTCAGCCTTGGACCGTCCCTCTTTCCTGCTGCCTCTCACCATCACGTGTCCTTTGCAGGGTGAGGATATCCTAGACAGGAGCTCAGAACTGATCTACACTGGGGAGATGGCCTGGATCTACCAACCCTATGGCCGCAACCAGCAACGAGTCTTCTTCCTGTTTGACCACCAGATGGTTCTCTGCAAGAAGGTAATTCTACCCCTTCTTCCCTGAGGGAAATAGACACTTCATGGGGCACCAGCCTCATCATTCTTAGACTCCCAATGAAGTAGATAAAACTGCTGAAGATAAAAAAGACAGAAGATTAGCAGCAGTTCCACATTAGGAGCACTGATATGGCGTGAATATTACAAGTGACAAACAATGAAAGTGTGAAGTTGGCACATGTTGTCTTAGGATATTTTTTTTTTACCTTTGCTCTCATGATTCTCATGCTGCTGCTTCCCACTCCCTTCACCAAAAACTGATAGCCAGCTTGGTTTTTTTTTTTTTTTAATCAGTTATTCAAAATACTATATTTCAATACCATTTGTTAGGGAGTAGCTTCCTCTCTGTCTTTTCTCATTTCCATTCTGATGTCTCCGATTGCATGACCTCTCCCTACCTTAGGAACTGACAAAGGCCTATGGAATGGTTAAGTGTCTTTATAAAGCGGGATTTTCTCCTTGCCTCTACCCATTTCCCACACAAGTTATACCAGTTCTCTGCAACTTCTGACTGTGTTTCTCCCCATTCTCCCTTCCCTATGATGCATTTGAGGAGAGACCTTGTACTGATCACTGACCCCTGAACTGTCTGGATTGGCTTCTTGGATTTTGCTCCTCAGTGTGGAGGTGTAACATATATGGTTAACATGATCTCCCTTGAGGGACCCTGATGGGATACTGTTTCCCCCTATCTCTTTCTTAGGAGAGGAAATTTAGAGCAGTTCTGTCCCTAGAGACTCTCTCTAAAGAATTTAGAACCAGAAAGAGTAAAAGAGGAGAAAGCAAAGAATACTTAGAATGATTTTCACATTTGCAGTCATACCTTTATCCTTCCTCCAGAATTCAGTCCCTTTGTCCTCTCCCTCATTCATTAGTGAATGCATCTGAAGAGGAATGCTAAGTCATGGTACACCATGTTAAACAATTATTTTATGGATTGGAACATGGATCACACATTTGCTCTGAACCCCCCAGTGTGTGTGTTTGTGTGTGTGTGTGTGTGTGTGTGTGTGTGTGGGTGTGTGTGGGTGTGTGTGTGTTTGCATTGTCTGTATTTTGCAAAAATGATTATCCATTTGACTTTGACAATGGGTTGAAGGAATAAACTGAGCTTAGATCCACACTGACCCATTGTTTGGCAATAAGCTCTGAGTACCATCTCTGGAACCAATACTTAGCTAATTAATGAGGACAATAACTACCTCAATCTGGAGCTGATTCTGGAAGAGAAAAACTTATAAATCTCAGCAATCCAGTAATATACTCTTTCAACTTCTCTAGCTCTTCCCATATCTACCATACAATCAGAAGGTAAAACTTTTGAAGGTTACTTTAGGAAATTTTCAACATATCAGCCATGTCACCAATAGGCATGTACCCATCTTTCCATTAAAGTATGTTAATATAATACTTAGTCACAGAGATAGTAAAGAACTAACAAGTTCATTTTAAAGCCTTGGTTAATCTGGGCATCAGCATAGGCTGTAGTCATTCTAAGTAAAATGTAAAACTGAGTCCTGTAAAGTAGTGGCAAAAGATATAGGGCCAGGACTTCGTTGTGAAACAGTGAAGTGGTGGTTAGGAGTAAAGGGACTGATAAAATGAATGACAGGTTCAGTTTAGAAGCCAAAGGACAACAAAAATAGAATGACAACTCAACTCCATACCAGCTAGAAGAAAGCAGTGATTACAAAGAAAGCACAAGTCAAGGGAGCGCTAGTAGGCTATGACCAGACAGACTATTGGTATGGGATAAATAGGCAACAGAAATGACAATAACAAGAGAAACATGACTGTCATAGCTTCATTCACATGAGAGATTTCATCTACTGAGAACTGTAGCCTTTATGCCCAGCTCATAGCCAGGAGAGAGTCTAGGGTATAAAAGCTACTAACACTACCTACCTGTATCTTTGTTAACTGGCTTCCCAGAGTATGAGCAGCTACAGCATATTTCCACAAAGGCCATCGAAACTGTCTGATGCTTGTGTTGAGGATTTCCTTTTGGTATCTATAACAGGCCTTTCTACAGATAAAATGGGGTAAATTTGAAAAGTGATCATAGAGTGAAGAAAGGTATGTGAAGAGACAAAGTATTTTGTTTGTTATTTAGGGATCTCTTGCCATTATTATAGAAAATTGTCTTCTTAAAATAGAGTGAGAGAAATAGACAAAGCTTCCTGCAGATAAAGATTCCTTTGACAAAGGAAAGGAAGGGCCAGTACTATAGTGAGGTGAGTCCTTAAGGCCTCACTTCACTTCATTCACATCAGGAACACAATTTAGATGGACTTCCAAAAATGTAATTTTTTACAAGGAAGAAAGTAGCTTAAACAATTGAATGTCACTACTTTAAGCTTTTTGAATGGACTTATGTTTCAAAAAGATGAAATAAAGGCCCCTAACAAATGATTACATAAATAATATTTTACATATTATATTTAGCAAGACTGACAAAAATAGATTCACGAATCTTAAAATGAATCAAAATTAGTTTTCAGAGTGTTGAAGACAATTTCAAAGAACTATTCAAATAAAGACAAATAATAAGTGATAGTCTGACAGTCCTCTGCCTGAGCAGATGTAGAAGAACACTAATTCCTTAGCTGTCAAGGTAGAAAGAGGAAAATCTGAAAAGAGAACTGAAGCACAAAGGATCTGAGGTTGTAATAAAGAACATCAAGTACTCTGAATTATCATTGAGTCCCTATTCTGTACCAGCCAGATCTGCCTTTATGAGATTTGTCATCTAATAAAATTTAAATATGATGTAAAATAAGCATGTCTGGACAATTAACTCTCACATGTTCTCAGTGGAATTGCTGTAGGTAAACTTGGCAGAATCATGGGTCCTCTGGAATATATGAGACACTATAAATAGGAAAATATATCAGTTTTCAAAATATAAAGCAACGTATTTCTGGAAAACATAAATTGAAAATAATATAATGAACCAGTATTTATTAAGTGCTTTTATGGATCTATTCTGAGAACTTTACATTCATTAACTTAAATCTATCAAGTAAATACTATGATTTTTCCAATTTTAAAGATATGTAAATTGAAATACAAAGGAGGCATTTAGTTTTCCCAAGAAATAATGACTGATAAGTGATCAAGCCAGGAAATCAATCCAGTCAAAATGACTCTAGATTGCACATTGGAAAATTCTATATCATTACTACCATTGATCTTATGAAAATTCTGTAATCAATTATTAAACGGTTTATAAACATTTAGAAAGAAACACAGTGACCATGATGGGTAAGCACTGATTTCTTAAAAGCATATTATGTCCCACAAAGCATCATTTCTTGTTTTTACAGTAATTAGGTAAGTTGATGGAAAGATTGGAAAATATGGATTTCATTCTGGCATTTCAGATTCTCCCATAATTTCATTGCAGAGAGAAGAAATGTGAAGTAATAGATGAACCATTAACATTACAGTTAAATAATTCTGGGTGCAGGTCCTGATTCCAGTACCCACTGTGTTATGTCAAACAAGTGACTTTTAATTTTCTTTGCTTTCATTTTATCATTCTCAAAATTGAGAGAATACCCTACAAGTGGATTATGAAAAATAAGTGAAATCTGTTGCAGTTCATGACCATGGCATGGCACAAAGGATGAAAGATTAGTTGGAGTCCAAATCCAATTCAAACTTCAAGAAGGCCCAGAGGAACTGCCATTAACTGAGATCCTTTGGTATGAGAGTCTCATACATACCTCAAGCTGAAGCTTCTGTGGCTTTTTATTGAAAGAAGCAGAAATCAAGGATAAATGGAAAGAAAGCAAGGCTGTCTGTGCAGGAGTTCATGCAGGGGACAGGGAAGGACAGGGTAAGCTAAGGGTAGTCTGTTACATGACTGGCCTTAGGGCCAATCTAAGTAATAAATTATACTGTGGAAAGGATACGAGCCAGAGAATTCATTCCTTTTTTAATTTTCATTTTTGTTTTAAAAAGGGTAAAACAAAACATAACAGGATAAAGCAGATCAGAAGAAAACAATGCAAGTGACTTAAGATTTCAAAGTAAGACATCAGGAGACCCACAGTGGCTACCATAATGTCTCTTATTCTCTTCTAAATAGTTGTATCTTCATACACAATGAATTCATACAACAAAATAGTATAAAACTGATCAAAACAGAGTAATGAAGACATTACAGGTCTTCAAACTCAGAAAATACCAAAGTCAACAATGGCTGCCATAATGTCTCTTGTTCTCTTCAAAATAGCTGTCCATACCTTCATGTATGTTGAAATTAAATAATACAAAACAGACTAAAACCACTCTAAACAAAGAATAAAATCATTGCTGGATTTCACAGCATGGTGATAGGAAATCAGCAATGGATACCATAATGACTCTTTTTCTTCAAAGTAGCTGTACATATCATCATGCATAATAAAACCAATTCTCATAAACTGTTGAGAAATTCTAGGCATGTATAAGCCTCTACATGTATATCTATCCTTTCTGCATTAGAGGAAAAAACAAAACAAAACAAATTACTAGAAAAACAAGAAATAGAAAAGAAAAATAATAGCAAGGAGCCCAAAACAATGATGATACAGGCCTTCAAAATAAAGTGGGTGGAACATAACTAAGGTTGTTATTTTACATAGTAATCTTCAAGAGTTCCACAGATAAGCCATTTGGAGAAACTTGCAAATACATCAGTAGCAACAAGAAATGCAAATAGCATAGGAAGAAGATAAAAATTTAGAATCAGAATATCTAGGTGTACTGGACTCTATATCAATAATTTATCTAAACTTAGGTCAGTTCTTTAATGATGTCTTTGTTTTTCTCAGTATGGAATCAAGCTGATAATATAACTAAGCTCAGAGAGTTCTGAAAAATAATTACCTGAGATAAAATAGAGTAGTGGAATATAGTGTTAAGAGCATGGGTATATAGGGCCAGGCTACACAGCTTCATTCCTGCTTCTCCCATGGGCTATCTAACATTGGGTAA